GCCGGCTGTCTGCCGGTGAGGGAAGGAAGCGTGGATTTGAAAGCTTGTGTGAGAGCGATTCGGATGAGGCATCAGCATGGTTGGACTCTGATAGTGATCATGATGCCTCAGCTTCGACTGTGCCCCCAGCTAAACAGCCGCGCAGTGGGCAAGAGCTACACGAGAGCTCCAGCTTACCCGTAACCCAACAGCAGTCCATATCCCCGCAAATGGCCCCTAGTGCGTCTGCCTTGCCTGGCACACATTCTCTGAGAGCTTCGCCGGTTGCCTTATCCGATCCCACACATTGGGGTGCCAGCCACAGTCAGAAAGAGGTCGATGCCGCCGATGCGCTGCTGGAGCTGTCAACGAGTACTTCGTCTGTGGAGGCCGCCGGTGGCGGGGCCCGAGAACAAGGTGGGGAAGAGCCTCAACCGTCAACGTCTGCCGAATCAACGCAAAGTGCTCGCCGTTTGCGAAAACGTCTTCCTGCAGCTGAACGCGCTGCAGCTGAGGTATCAGCTGCTATTGCTCTGGGGAATTTGCCCACTTCAAGTCACCCGTTTGTTCGTCTACCGGTCGTAGACCAATCTAAACTTTTGAGAAGTTTCAGCACCACAACTGCTGTATGTGAAGGCTGGCTTACGGTAAAGCCGACCCTTTTGCTGTCTCGGGCGCGCGAGCACCTTGCAAAGCCCTCACTCACCCCCGAGGAAATGGAAAAGCTAACCTACGATGCTGAGCGGTTGTGCAAGTATATTGTGCACGCTACGTCCCCGGACAAACATGCTCCTTCGCGTATTGTTGCGGAGTACCTAGGGCTCCAATTCCTGTGTATGGACGTAATTGTGGCAACTCTGCAGTTACTGGGGGAACCGGCGAGAGGACCCTGGTGGGAGAGAGTTACTGGCAAGATCCGTCTTGACTTCTCTAGCCAGTGGCAACTGCTTGCTCCCCCGAATGCTCCCGCGAAAACTCACTATAGCAATGTACTTTGTCGGGAGCTTAATTTGGCGTTGCGACTTTTAATGACAGGAAAGCGCCCTTCAGACGTCGACCTTATCAAGATTAAACGGATGCTTTTCTGCTCGCAACTGTCTCCGCGGCGCTTTAGAGGTAGCGAATTTGATGCCTGGCGAAATGACGGCAAACCCTTTTGTAGCCCAAAAGGTCCCGCCTGACGGCCTACGGGAGCTACCACCCTCGTTGCGCGTACTGCGTTGGGTTGAAGAGCGCAACGAGGTAAGTTATTTCAGGCAGCTTACCTCGAAATTAAGGGCCTGGTCACCGTCTTCCAGTCTTGCGACCCTTGGGAAACGATCCCGTCTTCTTGCAGTGCAATACGGATGTATTTCAAGATCTTAAACGAGTTACATCGTTCGAGCTCTACTGCAATTCGAGGACTTAGGCAACTTGACTGCCAGCAGCTTTTGTGGAGACTCTGGGGCCAGACCAGTTTTGCCAGGGAGCCTCTTACATTGTTGGCATTTGCGGCGATAGCTCTGAAAGGCCACTCAATCTGCCAAGGACGATAAGTACAGTCGACTTGCGTACAGCCTGCAGGCATTATCCCAGAAGTATCGAGCGGAAAGTACAGGTCGCTCGCCATGCTTTGAAGTGGAGACAGTTGGCCGTTTCTTTTTTCTAGCTGGAGTCTGTGTTTTCGTCGGGGTTAGCTTGAGGAGGTAGCAATCATCCAGGTGAAGGAAGAGTCCGACTTTTGTTTGGTCTTGCGGCACGCTCGGAGGCGCCTTGAACGTGAAGGAAGTTCTTAGCGCACCAGTCAGTGTTGTTGCAGCTTTGTCTGTGTTCAGTTGGTGCATGCATTTCTACTTACGAGCCAGTTGGCTACTGAGGGCTCAAAACGGACATAACAATTGTTAGCAGTTTTAGTGCATGCATGAAGAGGAGGCTTGGTTATGCTTACATATAGGGGCGCTTTGCAGCAAGTGTTGCAGCAAGGTGTGATGCAGCTCTTGGCAGTCTACCTCAACTCCCCGCCAGGCCTAGGCGCTTACGCCGCCACGCCCAAGCCAACTGCAGACTGGCGAGGAAATCATCTACTGTTTGGAAACCCGTACCGCATGTTTTATTCAACTCGGTTGCAACTTGCTTCGGTCCTCGTCTGAGGGTCAGGACCCATTACAACCACAGCAGCGTGCTATTACCAGTCGCAAGAAACTAAATCTGTCGGCTATAGCAAGATGATCAAGTTGGCGACATTCTATATGCAGTCGACAGTTTCACTGAGGAAAGTGAGATAGTGCACAGCTAGGTCATCAACAGGCAGCTAAGGCAAAGCCGCTCTAGAGCCTTGCCATTTCCTAGCGAAACGAAAGACCAAAGAAAGAGATGGAAGGCGACGTAGCCAATAGCTGGAAGGGGTGGGGTTGGCAGGAGGGTGGATGACGCAGCAAGCCTGAATGTGAAGAGGGCTCTTCTGCCGATTGATAGTTAGCAGAGCTCGGCGAATTGTCGAAGTTCAGAAAAAGCTACATACGCTCCCAGAGGGAACGGGCCTTTTAGAGCCACGCCTTTCCAGAGTTGTGTACAAATGAACCTGAGAGCAAACGCGGGCCGGCGGAAATCGACGTTCAAGGCCCAGTCAACACCAGGAAGGCGTGCCGTAGCCGCACACTTGAGGTTTGGAAAGTTCGTCTTCTCTAGTGTCGACGATCCCCCAAGTATTTACGCT